TTCTAGTTGCTGTATGTGGGACGCGGCCTCAGCATGGCCAGAGAAGCGGTGCATCGGTGCGCACCCGGGATCCGAACCCGGGCTGCCAGCAGCGGAGCGCGCGCACTTAACCGCTAAGCCACGGGGCCGGCCCGCTAATGCCTTTTTCTTTTCATTCATTCATTTAACAAGTATTTATTGAGCACCTCCCATTTGCCCAGGCCTCTGCCGGTGGGTCACTAGAGGTGATGCAGGGAGAAATGTAGGCTTTACATCAGGCAGCTTTCGCTCCAGCCAAGGGAGACGGGAAACCAGGCCCAGGAAAAGAGTGAGGCAAATAAGGCACTCACCTTGGATGCAAAATGTCTGGGGGCTCCCCTAAAACTTAGTAATCAAGATAAATGATGTTTTGATGCAATATTTAAAAACATCAAAATCAATGCAAAAAATCCGTGGTGAACAAGATATCAAAATTTCAATTTATAACATGGTATCGGTGGTGATTTTAAGTGCAATGAAGAAATTTAATCAGGGTAGGAGGCAATATGATAGAGGAAGTGTGCTCTTTTAGATGGAGAGGTCAAGGAAGATGGCTCTGAGGAGGGGACCCAGGAGCAGAGAGCTGAATTACCCAAGGGAGCCAGGCTGGCAAACACTGGGAAAAGTGTTCCTGCAGAGGGAACAGCAAGACAAGCGCCCAGAAGTGGAAGTGCACCTGAAGCCCTCGAGGGAGAGGAGGACGGCCAGTGTGGCTGGAGCTGAGTGAGGGGAAGACAAGTGGCCAATGGGAGCTGGGGGGTGCAGCCAGGGGCCAGTGTGTGTAAGGCCTTGGATACTTCTGGAATGTTTTCAATGTTTCCCCCACACTGCACATTAAAATTATTTTTGTCTTGAATTATCTCAGTAATCACCTCAATTTTCCACTTTATTTTATTTTAATCCTCTTTGGGACATCCTCCTAAGTGTAACCTTAAATGATAGTTGTGAAATTCTTAAAGAATCCTCAAAGTTGTTTTTTATTTTTTCATTCTAACTCTTAAAATGAGTTACTCTGCACGTCAGCTTTTTCCAGACAGGATTTTAAAGTGCAGTTACGGAGGAGCACACGGGCAGAGCTAACAGGAAATCCAACCCTCAACAGTTTAGAAGTCTGAAATATTTGGGAACTACTGTAACAGGCCGTAGAAGCAATTAAAGTCCCAGTTCTCAGCCTGAGCCTCAGGTGGCTGTGAATGAAACACATACCTTTATAAACTGTAGCAAAACTTCTTATGTACTAAAGGATGTGTTTCTGGGGAATAAGTCCAAAGTTTTCGTCATGTTCCCCAACAGGTCCAATGATCCCAAAAACGTTCAGAAATACTGCGTTTTGCTAGAGGGTGAGGGTTTTCTCTTTCATGATTTCATTCATCTCCCGCCCTGCAAATCCACAGCTTGACTGGGGCAAAGTTGTCACCAAGGATCCTTGTAAGGAATATCCTTTATTAGTTCATTCAACAAAGACAGTGGAAAGAAGCAGCAGAGAATGACACCTGCTTCCCAGTGTGGGTGGGAGAACAAAATGGCTGAGATTAAGTAAAGCTCTGAGTACAGGGCCTGACACACAGCTAGCTCTCAACACAAATGAGCTGCTATTGATGATAATAATAAAGCATACAAACGTTTTAGTGTGTATAGTCTGCAGCACAGAGCAGCCTAGAGACCAATATTCTGAAAGAGGAAACCAAGCAGGAAGAGAAAAAATAAATCCAGCTGCCAGAGCTTCAACGCCCGCACAGCCAGCACCGCTGGGGGTCATCAGCAGCTTTTGGGGAGAGGTTCAAGAGCATGGCGTTTGTGGTTAGCTGGGCCTCACTTGAGAAAGACTCGCATCTTCTACTCCTTCCGCTCACCTACTGTGTGCGCCCGACCCCAAACACCTCGTATGAGTCTCAGGTTTGTCACGCCTCCAAATCTCCCAGTGTATAGTCATGGTTTAATGAAGAGCAGCTATTTTCATTTTTCCTTCCCCAGATGAACTTGGTGAGGAACAGGTTTACTTGTCAGAAAAGCACACAGGTTTGAGAGGCTATCTAAAGACCTTTAGGTGTTTGCTATTCTGGATCTGATTTTTTGTAGAGAAAACTAATCTTGGAAACACTCCCAGCTCTCTCACTTACTAGCTGTGCGACCTCAGACGAGTCATTTGATCTTTCTGGCTTCTGTTTCCTCACCTGTAAATGGGATTCTTACCAGTTTTAGGGTCTGCCAAATGGGGCTCGTCACCCCTCTCCGAATGAGTCTGCACTTTTCTCTTGGTTTATTGAAGAAATAATTACTGAGTGTGCCAAAGACTCCTCTAGGCACTGAGGATGCCACAGGGAATAAAACGAAGTCCCCACCCCACGGACTTTACAATTCTTGTGACTGGCATAAAAATAGACCATAGGTCAATGAGAGACCAACTGATTAAAGGGTTTATTTTTCTTTTTAATTCCCATTAATTGCAGTAACAGATAACCCAATCTTACAGGCCATGAAGTTTTCATATCCATGTATTTTCTGTTCCCAAGTGGGGAATATTTTCAGCTTTTTATGTCTCCCTTTGGTCAACATGATAACATCCAATCATAAAGGGCTGCCTTACAGTAGATAGGCTTTCCCCTAATTTTTATAATAATTAAAGGAACAAACGGAGAGACGGTCAACAGCATGAAGGCAGACAGTCAAGGAATTTAGCAGGGCTTTTCTAAGAGATCTGCGTTTTCATTATAGATATAATACAGCCTGTCTGTCGGAAAAGGCATGGAAACGTCAGCGTATCTTTCATAATTATATCTGTGTCTGTTAATTATACCTGCTTTTTAATAAACAAAAAATAATTTTTAGCCTGGGCTTCAGGAGGTTGTGAATGAAATACATACATGTACAAATTGTATGCACTATTTCAAATATATAAAATGTACATGGCAGTATCAGAACGTTTCAGGCCTTAGAGAATCTTACTCCTCCAGAATCTCCTATAACATCCTTCACAGGATTTGTTGTTGAGTGCTTAGGTCACTCAATAAAAAGATACGTTCTCCTTTTAAACACATAAACATTAACTGAAATAACAGATCTCATTTATATGCATCATTAATTGCATTATAAAATGCAGCCCTTTCCGTCGAGGCGCTCCCAGGCTAGGGATGTGCCAGATCCACAGTCAGACAGGTTGGGGTGGGACGGGGCCCAGGGAGCTGGGCGCTCCTGAGTCACCCCCGCCCGCGTCGCCCCGGCCCCCCGCCCCCGAGCGAGCGATTAAGATCGCGCAGCAGAAATCCAGGGTCACCGGAAAGAGGAAGGGACCGGCCGCGGCCGGGGAGACGGCAGCAAGCCCCGCACCCTGCTTCGCACGCGAGGCCCAGCCCGCGCTGCGGGGCCACGCCCAGCCCCTAGCGACGCTTTCCATGGCAACGAGGCTTGGCAACGGCCCCGCCCCGCTGCGTCGCGGCGGGCGTGCTGCGTCACCGCCGCGCGCCGGAAGTGACTGCAGCGGTCTCCAGGGACCCCGGAAGTGTCCGCTGCGGCAGGCTGTTGCTGACTGACTCTTGGCTTAGCGATGGGTTGCGACGGGGGAACAATCCCCAAGAGGCATGAACTGGTGAAGGGGCCGAAGAAGGTTGAGAAGGTCAGCCACGTGGGCCGGGTGGGGACCGGGGGTAGTGAGGCCCCGGGGAGCGAGGGGAGGTGGGGTGGGGGAGCCAGCGGGGCCCCAGACGCACTGCGCTCATTCCTCCCATTTTGAGGACTCAAAATTAACAGCAGTGTCAATAACGGACCCTTATTGGGTGCTTGCTGTTGCCATTCACCTGGCAGTACGCTTGATGTGAGGTATCCCGTGTAGTTCCCACAGCAGCCCTATGTGCACGCGCTGTCATTATCCTCACTTTTCAGACATGGGAACTGAGGGTCAAGAGGAGAGAGTTGCAGAGTTACTAAGTGGCAGAACCAGAATTTGAAGCCTGTCTGCTGTTAGTAACAGTGATCCAAAGGGCTGCTGTTTGTTGAGCTTTGCGTACACTAACTTCATTTTTTCAGGGAAGTCTTCCCCAACCGTTCCCTTACCCCGTGAGGTCAGGTCCTCCTCTTAAAAACTGTCTCACCGCCCTGTACACCGCGGTCGTGGTTGGTTAATGTCGGTCTCAGGGAACGGAAGCTCCTGATGGTAGAGGCTCCGCCTTTTCGCCCTGTACAACTGGCACAGTAAATATAGTGAATAAATGAGTGAGTGAATAATCCCTAATTCTCACAGGTAGTTGAGCAAATTATATGTAATAATTTCCAGGCTAATGACAAGGAAATAGAGTCAGTAACATGACCAAGATCACACAACTGGTAGGTAATGAAGCCAGGATTCCCATCCATTTATTCAGGATTTTAAATTTGGCACTGAATTGCTTTTTAATAATAGAAGGCACGCGAAGCACCTAATACAGTGCCTGGCACACGTGAGTGCTCCATGTATTCTCCGTTCAGCAACCAGAGAGATCTTTTCAAAAGGTGCTCCCATATATCACTACTGTGTTTAAAACACTCCAGAGGGGCCGGCCCCGTGGCTTAGCGGTTAAGTGCGCGCGGTCTGCTGCTGGCAGCCTGGGTTCGGATCCCAGGCGCACACTGACGCACTGCTTCTCGGCCATGCTGAGGCCGCGTCCCACATACAGCAACTAGAAGGATGTGCAACTATGACATACAACTATCTACTGGGGCTTTGGGGGAAAAAAAATAAATAAAATTAAAAAATAAATAAATAAAACACTCCAGAGGCTTTCCATCATATTCAGAATAAAATCCCATAAGGCCCTGTGTGATCCCATCCCCTGCCTCTCTTTCCACCTCGTCTTCTGCCCCTCTCCAGCTCTTTCATTCTGTTCCAGTTACACAGGCCTTGTTCCTCCACCTGAAGTATAATTTCCTCGACCTGTTGTGTTCTTCACTGAAATATTCGCATTATTTGTTTCTTTACTTGATTCAGTTCTTAAATGTCATCTCAGTCCAGTGCAGCTGAAATACACCTCACTTCCAATCACTCTCCATCCTCTTCTGCTGCTTTACTTTTCTTTATAGTGCTTATCACTATATTATTTATTGTCTGTCTCTCTGCTATGTGGACAGGGACCTTGTATGTCTTACCTCTGTAATCCCTACAATGTGTCTGCCATACAATAGGTACCCAGTACATGTGTGTTGAATGCCGGAATGAATGAACACCCGCGTGGATGGAGTGTGCCCTCTAATCATACCTCCATCTGCGTAGACTAATGCTGGATAGTTAGCACTCATAAGAGCCTTTGTCAAAAAAATATTCAGCTCAGTTTTGTTAACTTGTGGCCAGGGCTGAAGAGAAGTAGCTTAATGAAAGGCTTGGCAAGAAACAGGTGTCAGAAGGGGCTAGAAAAGAAGAAAGGGTGATCCAAAACAACCAGAGTGCTCAGGCAGGATGGATTTTTGTTATCCTCATTTATTCAACAAATACTTATGAAGAGCTTAGCGTATGCACCATTCTAGGCCCTGGGGATACAGCAGTGAACAGAGTCCAGCCCCTGTAGAGCTTACGTTTCAAATAGATATATAATAATTTAATATTTGTTGATCACTCATATGTGTTTGGTCTGGCCCAGAATTGCTGTAATTTAAGACCTTGCCCTGAAAAGAAGTGAGACCTGGAAGAAAATGTTTTCAGAAGTTTTTTAGGGGGACCAATCTTTAAATCCATGGGTAAGACGTAATTTATTGCTTTTCTCCTTGTCCCCAACTCTCCCAAGTGTTTTTTGAATCAGTAAAGGACTGTGGGGGAAGCACGTGGGGGATCCAGAAAGTAATCCCAGACTTGCTGAATGTGGCTTTTTGAATCTGCAAAAGATGTAGGAGGTCAGCTTCACTGGTGGCAGGTCTCTCTCAGGGCTCTACTACAGGGCCGGTTTTTTGTTTTTTTTTTTTATTTGTTTATTTTTCCCCCCAAAGCCCCAGTAGATAGTTGTATGTCATAGCTGCACGTCCTTCTAGTTGCTGTATGTGGGACGTGGCCTCAGCATGGCTGGAGAAGCGGTACGGCGGTGCACGCCCGGGATCCGAACCCGGGCTGCCAGCAGTGGAGCTTGCGCACTTAACCGCTAAGCCACAGGGCCGGCCCCTACAGGGTCAGTTTTGATAAAAGCTGTTTAAGCTGCCAAAGTGTTGCTCTTGGATGTGGGGAGTGCATAAAACAACAGTTGCGTAGTGTGGGTTCGGTTTTAGTTTTGTTTGACAAAATAGAGATTCGTGATTAAAAGCCTGGTCTCTAGAGCCAGCCTGCTGGGTTCTTATCCCACCTCCTTCATCTACTTGCTGTGTGACCTTGTACTTGTAACCTAACCTCTTGGTACCTCAATTTCCTTGACAACAAAGGTAAAAATACTAAGTCATGGAGTTTTTCCGAGGGCTAAAAGGTTGTCACAGAAACTGCTTAGCACAGTACCTGGCACACAGTAAATAGTTAAGCAGTTGTTGCTACAAAAATTAAATTTAAGGGAATTTTTCCTGATTGTTTCTTTTTCTCTTCTTATTTTCTCCCAAATGTGCCGTCCTGTTACATTATTCAGGTTTGGCATTTTAGGAGGGGAAAGCTTGGGACGTGGAATATTATAGAGGTGAAAATATCATTTGAGGGCTCTGGAAGCTCTTACGTCTGGATTTTCACAGTGTGGACAAGGGTTTGATATGCCCCCTAATGAACAGTTTGCAGAAAACACTTCTGTTAAATTGGTGATTTTTGTGAAGAATTATATAGTCTTTGTACTGAACTTTGAACAAAAAATGGCCGTCTTCTCAGTTCTTAGTCCTTAAATTCTACTAAATCTGTGGAGCTTTTGCCATGGTTAGAAGTTAACCTGTGCTGTTTGTTTTTTCTGTATGGCTGCCTCACTTACTGTTAAGACGTAAATATCAATACTTAAATGTAGCTTGCATGAGCAATTTAATGACTTGATGTAAACTGTTCCGTTGTAAGTTTAGAGGGGACTTGATTTGACAGCGTGTTGATTACTTTGACTTTTGAAATCCCAGCTCCATGTGTCACTATCTTTGTGACAAAGATGACAAAAATCATCACAGTGTGGTATTACTGAATAAGCCTTTATATGTAAGAACTGTGGACCATATGTTTTTCAGAGGTGAAAATTAATCGAAAGGATTTCTTTTCTTAGGTTGACAAAGATGCTGAATTAGTGGCCCAATGGAACTATTGTACTCTAAGTCAGGAAATATTAAGGCGACCAATAGTTGCTTGTGAACTTGGCAGGTATGGTTCCTTTGCTTAATCAAGATGACTTTTTATTAAATGATTTTAAAAAGGATTTTAATGTGCAAATGCATTTCTTGATTCATCAAATGTGAATTACCTCATACAAATTTGTGACGCCTAGGTTATCATTCCCTGTCTCTGAACATACTTGTACACTTTCCTATTCAGTTTGGTTTATTTAATCCATGGGTCAAAACCTCAGAGGCCAGTAGGAGCTAAGTTATAAACATAAATGCATGAAGGAGCCACGTGGGGCAGTAGGGAGGGGTGGGGACTGGGGGAAACGAGAGTTCATGGCCTGTATAAAGGGGTAGCTGCTACTGAGTTCCAGCCAGTTGTTGCAGTTCAGGAATGTGGGTTTAGTGATTCCAGAACTTCCATGTGTGCGTAGGTTTTTTTCTCCCCCCAAGAAAAGTTGAAAATGTGTACTTTTATATTAAATTTCCCAATTTTTAAAATCCTTGTTCAGGTCACATTCAGCCCTCAGACTACCAATTTGCAACCCTTGATTTAAACTAGTTTCTTTCTTTGTGTGCTCTGGAAATACTTGAGACAGGATTAAATTTACCTTTTTAGTAATGCAGGGCATTTCTGTTATCAAAAGTAAATGACTTTGGGTTGTACTCAATTTAGTCTTCCTCCTTTGTGTGAAGGTTGATTGTTGCCAGAATGTTTTGACTAATCCTTATTGTTGCAGACTTTATAACAAGGATGCTGTCATTGAGTTTCTGTTGGACAAATCTTCCGAAAAGGCTCTTGGGAAGGCAGCATCTCACATTAAAAGCATTAAGGTAAGACAGGTGATTCTGAAGTGCTCCAAGGGTCTCAGTGGTTCAGGTTCATTTTATAGAATTTATGTACATTGTAGACTGAACTCAGAAATTTGGAATTCCACTCCCACCTGGCCGCCTGATGAAGGTGTGATTTTGGGCAGGTACTTAAAGCTCAAGCCAGAAGTTCCCACACCTGTACTTCCTGCATTATAAATCCACTGATTTAATATGTGTGAAAGAGCTTTGAAAACTCTGAGCGTGCTGTGTAAGTATCGGGAGGGATTATTTTTGTAGTTAAAACTCAGCTACTTGGATTTTTATTTGGAAAACACTTTTATAGGAGAATTTTGTAGGTAGATCATTATTAAATCATTGTGGTTATCTCCTGCTGATTAGAAGTTCTGCTTGGCAGCTACAGTTCTTTCATAAAAGTGTAAAAAGTTTTTTAGTGAAGGAAGTTAGCTGAGAGGACAAAATCTTTCAAATCTGGTCAATGGGAGAAAAATCAGAAAAGTAATGAAGAATTTGAGAACCATGAAGCTTATCAAACACTCCATTTCACAGGTGAGAACGCATTGCACTCATTGAGGCCACATGGCTAATTCGTGAGGCACTTGAACCAGAGCCCCTGACTCAGTCTAAGGCTTTGGGTTTTTTCTTTCTTTTTTTTATTTTTTATTATTTGTATTACTTTATTTTTTATTTTTTATTGTTATATTAGGCTTTTTGTTTGAATTCTTGGGGTAATTACTGGAGACAGGATATGTTCATTTCAGGCAAATTAGTAATTCTGAAACATAGCTAATGGTAGTCCTGTAGAAATAACCATGCTGATTTTTGTCATCTTACCTTTGGAAGAGAACTGGTTCCTAAAAAACGCATGGTAGCATAATTATCTTACCTCAAAAATGTGATTATCATTGAAATTAATTTATATAATTCTATACTCAAAACACAATATTCAATGTATGTGGCTGAACTTTTAATTTTAATGCAAAAAAAAAAAACTTCCAAGGAGTTGGAACTGTAAAGACAAAAGGACTCAAATAAAGTAATGAAAATATATGATTATCATTACTGTCGATTGATAGTCCACAAATACTAGAGCAGAGAACTGGATGAGACACATGCCAGCTGTCAGCCAGGAAGCTGGCTGCGTGCCTGCTGGCTTTCCTTTTGAGGCACTCAGCTGCTCTCCAGAGTGTTGAAATCAAAATGATGTGGTTAAATATGAAGAAATGCCTCAAATGCTCAGGTAGGGCTAAGTCAAACTCCTTGTGAAGTTGACTTTTTAAAAACCTGAATGGCTGGATCTTGGAATATGATAGTATTCTCTGGCTAATAGTGTGCCTTGGACTTATTAAACTGTGGCCTCACAGATTTTACTGTCTGTTCAACTATTAGGTAAACGTAGATGGTCAGTAATACAGAGCAGCCTCCGTGAGGATTCATCAGCAGGAAAAGAAAGTGTTCCCTTCTGGATGCAGCTAATACAAAGCTTTCTCTTAGTGGAGTAATTTTTCATGTCAGAAGTTACTTTTCCTTAAATAGTAAAATATTTGTAAAATAGAAATTAACTAATTTATTTACTCGTCAGTGTATTTTTAAAATCTTGTTTTCTATCACAACTTATGTTTAATTTTATATTCATGTTAATTGACGGCCAAAGGATAGTAGCTAGGAAGTGGAAGTTTGGATGGGAAGGTACTAGAATGACAATTTCTCTGTTGATTTTGGTGGTGGTTAAGGCTAAGGATTATCCATTTATCAGATGAATTCTTAAAATATTGATGATTTTTCACAGAATGTGACAGAACTAAGGCTTTCTGATAATCCCGCCTGGGAAGGGGATAAAGGAAACACAAAAGGTGACAAACACGATGACCTCCAGCGGGCACGATTCATCTGCCCCGTCGTGGGCTTGGAGATGAATGGCCGACACAGGTCAGTAGTGGATATGGGGCAGGTACTGTGGAATCTAGGTAAGTGATACTGGTGTTGTTGGGATTCATGCCGTAGCTTATCTCACATGGACGCCTGTAAGGTGTCTTTCAGTTTGGGTCGTGTCTTAGAGGCTGCTCCTCAGAAGACCACATTCATTCCCTGTCGGCCATTTGTACCATGGCGTCCCAGTCCACTCAACTTTGTTATCTGTGGCCTTCTGCTCTTGAGAGTTCTTTAGGTTCTTGAGAACCTCAAGTAAAGAAGGATTTAAAAATTTTCTCATGTGACACTTCTGAGACTTGAGTTGGGTTATTTGATCTTTTCCTATGGGAAAGAAAGCAAAGGACAAATGTTTCCCTTCAAACAAATCCCATTTCCTTGTAATTGCCAGAAACTATGCAATGAAAACAGTGTTGCACAGTGTGTGGTTGATCAGTCAGCAAAAGGCCCAGCTGATAATGATAACTTGCTTTTGATTTGTACCTAACAAATTCTCTGGCTAGAGCACCAGAAATCTTAAGGTTGAAATTTATATAGCAAATGTAGGTGACCTGTATATTTCCCCTCTGAAAAAAATAGGAATGTTGAGTGGGTTAGTACTTACCTTTTTATAGGACATCTTACTAAGCAAAAGCTTTAAACCCTTTTCCCACCATTTAGAAGTATCTTTAATAGACTGTAATTATCTGGAATCTTCCATCTAACACACCACATGTTGAAAGCTAGCATTGTTTTACTGTTTTCATTCAGGAAATGTGGGGGGAAGCATCTCAAGTAAGTAAAAAGTTTTATTGAGCTATAAACAACTACATTTAATCTGCGGCATTCTGGCACATTTGTGTACACTCATTTAATAGACGTGTGTGGCACACTATACCAGAGAGACTAACCACCAGGCTCTCCAGTGGAATAACCTGTGGCTTTATGGATTGGGAGAGAAGTAAAATTTAAGGCTCAAGGACTGTGTGCTTTTAAAGATTATGCTCTTCAAATCGTGTGAATTTAAATCATTGAGACCTCTCTCTCAGATTTCACTGCACTATGTGCAGTGATGGGTGCGTTAATTGGCTTGATTGTGATGATCATTGCACGGTGTATATGTCAAATCATCAAGTTATACACCTTAAGTACATACCATTCCGATTTGTCAGTTATGCCTCAATAAAGCTGAGAAAAGAAAAATAAAAAACCAAAGTTCACCATTTGGGTCAAGCAGGAAAGATTCTGGGGAACCAGACTCATGTTCCTGACCTTGTCGCGCGCGCGCGTATGTGTGTACATGTTATTTTGAGGTGCACGTCATAACAGAGTTAAGCATTTTAAAGTGTACATTTCAGTGGTGTTTAGTACTCACAGTGTTGTGCAGTCACCACCTCCATCTAGTTCCAAAACATTTTCATCACCCGGCAGGAAAACCCCCTGTCCCTCAAGCAGTCACTCCCCGTTCTCCTCTCCTCCCAGCCCACGGCGACCACCAGTCTGCTTTCTATCTCGATGGATTTACCTATTCTACATATTTCCTATGAATAGACTCACACAGTGTGTGAGCTTTTGTGTCTGGCTTCCCACTTGTTTGTAAGAAAACCATGGTTTATCCCAAAAGAGGAACTTAGGAGAAACAGACTGAACTCTGGGGTCTTGAGCAGGGGTTACCTGTAGCCTGTTGCTCTAATGTGGCTTCCCCTGGTTTTTCCCTTTCATTTGCTGGTTAATCTCTTCCCAGTTAATTGAGTTTTGCCTGTTTTGGCTTTGCCCTCCTGCTATTCACAGGGCCTCTGCACAGAAAATTGATTTGGGGGTTAGTTTGTATATTTAGTAAAGTTTGTATGATACAGATTTAAATACATAGAAAAGTAGAAATAAATTACTAATATAATAGAAACACTGGGCCTTTGTTTAAAGGAAAACATAATTTTCTAAATTACTAATAATTAGTAAACATCAGTAAAATACAAAACTGTTTTGGTCCTAAACTAATGAATTTAGGACAATGTTGTTAATTGGATTTTTGTTAGGACAATTTGTATCCATTATAATCCCTGGGAAACTGGAGAATATTTCTATTGTGGCATTTTTACAAGAATATATCAAGTAAAGTGTTAAAGTGCTTTTTGCCTCTTTCCCCAATTGTGGCCTCCAGTGGCAGCATTATTAGTTGTTTGGTGTTTAATGCCCCCCCGACACCCCCACACATACACCACACACTCACCACGCTCCCCTCCACCTCTGCAAATAGAAATATAAATAAACGTGTGTCTTTCCACAGTCATGGGATCATATTATACATTTTTTTTTTAAGAGAAGTAACCCTTTATTTCCTTGTTTCACAAATAAAGCTGGCTGAGTTGGTTGCTGAAAACTTGATTACCCCTGTTAATGTTCCCTTCCATTAAAGTGGTAAACTGAAAATTGATTATAGATATATAGATTTATTTGCCCCTTCATTCAGAGGCGCTGGATTTATTTTCTTCCAATTATTGATGTAGACGTAACCAAGATACTGAAATCTTTTGGAGTTTTTCTGCCTAAGGATCCATTTCCTACTGAAATAGCAAGATGTACTGTGTACTACCGAAAATACCAAATATTCAGGAAGTATATGAATCATGTTGATAACACAAATTTTAAAAAGGAATGCTACTTTCAAATTTTTTTATATTACACGTATTTTGAAACTTCTTTTTTTCCTACTTCTCTTTCTAATTTGAACATGTTTTCGTGACCTTACATACAGATTTACCTTATTCCTTTTACTAGCTGTACATGATTTATTTACCTGTCCCCTGTTGGTGAACATTTAGGTGGTTTCCTCTTTTTCCTTGTTATAGGCAGTGCTGTACTACACAACTTCATAAATATTTGTGCATTTGCACACTTGGGGGCATGTTTCTATAGAGAAATTCTGAAAAATGATGCTGTACTTGATACTGCCAAATTGTCCTCCCGTGTTGTACTCACCCACCAACAAACGTGCCTGTTTCCTTTGACAGTTTCCAACTGGACTCCTTTAATCTCTTTCATTATTGCCTGATAGGGAAAACATTATATGTCATTGTTTTGAAATGCATTTTTTCAATTATTAACAGTTGAGGTTACACATCTTTTATATGTTTTGGCCATTTATATTTCTTTTGTGAACTTTAATGTCCTTTGCCCATTTTTCTATTTATTGTTTATTTTTGGTTTTTAAGACTTATTTGAATATTTGTAGACTCTGAATCTCATCTGTATTTAAAAAATATTTTCTCCCTGAGTTCCTAGTTTGTCTTTGGCTTTTTATGTTTGTGGTTTTTTTTTTTAAATGTATTTATTTATTTTTTTTTATAGGCCAGACCTTATTCAAAAGGATTATTGCAAGGGGGCGGGAATGGGACTATGGCCTATGTTGGTGGTTTTAATTTCTATAAATATATATATATATATTTATTTTGGATATACTGATTTTTTTGTGTGTGTGTGTGAGGAAGATCAGCCCTGAGCTAACATCTGCCAATCCTCCTCTTTTTGCTGAGGAAGACTGGCCCTGGGCTAACATCCATGCCCATCTTCCTCCACTTTATATGGGACGCCGCCACAGCATGGTTTGACAAGCGATGCGTCGTTGCACACCCAGGATCCGAACTGGCAAACCCGGGGCCGCCGCAGTGGAGCGCACACACTTAACCGCCTGCACCACCGGGCCGGCCCCTGATTCTTTTTACTTAATAGCCTTTTCTCTTTGTGATTCTTGGCCTTTGTGTAAACTGAGCAAATTTCATTTGTTATTGATAATCTGGGTAACAATTTAAAAATTATTATTTGTCATGCCCCATAATCAATTATTTCTCCAGGTTTTGCTTCCTGCGGTGCTGTGGTTGCGTGTTTTCTGAACGAGCCTTGAAAGAGATAAAAGCAGAAGTTTGTCACACGGTGAGTTGTTTACACATATACCATGCATTCCTTCTCAGTGACTGAGGAAGTCAGATGGTTTGGGGTCCTTCCTTCCATGTGTCATTTCAACATTTTTCAATTCTTTCTGAAACACGGGTCTAATCAGTTGTTTCTCTGCTTGAAACCCTTCCACAGCTCATCATTGCTGGAAGTACGGTCTCAGACTGCCTCTTGTGACATGTCCCTGCCTGTCCACTCACACCTGGCTGGGGCTGCTCCCTGAAGGAGCCGAGTTCTCTCGTGTGCCTTTGTTCCCTGTACCCTGACCTGCCAGCCTAGAGGGGTCCTGCTCCCCATGAACCTTAGTTCCAGAGCGATTGCTTCCCTGTGAGCCTTTGCTGCCAACCCTCTTTTCCCGCTCCCTGGGCGCCTTGTGATCCCACGTATCTCAGCAGAATGTAATTGGTATTTGTATGTTGGTTTCCCCACTGCGGTGTGAGGGTTTTTTTTTCTTTTTTTTATAAGACTTTATTTTTTTAGAGCAGTTTTAGGTTCACAGCAAAGTTAAGAGGAAAGTACAGAGATTTCCCCTATACTCTCTGCCGCCACACATGCACAGCCTCCCCCATTATCAACATCCCTGCCAGAGTGGTACATTTGTTACATCTGATGAACCTACAGTGAGACCTCATCATCATCCAAATCCCTGGTTTACTTTAGAGTTCATTCTTGGTGTTGTACATTCTTTGGGTTTGGACAGATGTATAATGACATGTATCCATCATTATAGTATCTTACAGAGTATTTTCACTGCCCTCAAAATCCTCTGTGCTCTGCCTGTAAGTTTGGTGGGTTTTTTTTGTGAGGAAGATTAGCCCTGAGCTAACAACTGTTGCGAATCCTCCTGTTTTTGCTGAGGAAGACTGGCCCTGGGCTAACATCCATGCCCATCTTCCTCCACTTTATATGGGACGCTGCCACAGCATGGCTTGACAAGTGGTACGTAGGTCCGCACCCGGGATCCGAGCCTGCGACCGCTGGGCCGCCGAAGTGGAGCACATGAACTTAACTGCTATGCCACTGGGTTGGCCCCCTGCCTGTGAGTTTTTGAGCACGGGGAGCAAGGCTTGTCCATCTCATTACCTCCAGGGCTTATTCTCTCCAGAGCATGTCACCTCTCCTCAGTAAATGCTTGTACGAGTGAGCAGACACCTTGATGTAAGAGCTCACCTGCTCAGCTCAATGGAGGGAATACTGAGGACTTTGCTTTCACAGTGTTGTTGCTGCAGCCCAGAACATTCGTGCCTTTGGTGTACTGTTGCCCTGTGGAAAGCCTGGCATTTAGTTAAATGTCATGGATGCCAACAGCTCCTGTCCGTATTTTCACCCATATTAACTCTGCTTGGATTTCATTAGGCTTCCCTGTACTGTTCCTCCCTGTTGTGAATTATTCTTTCATTCACCAGCTTTCACTGAACACCTGTTATGAGCCAGCCCCTGTCCTAGGCATGTAGGTGGGGTATCATGGTGGGTATGATTGACACCGCCCCTGCCTTCCTGGAACTCCCATTCCAGTTGGAGAGATAGACACTCAATAACTAGGCACTATCGATTGTGATAAATGCTAGGAAGGAAATGAGAGGGTGATGTCCCGGAGGGAGAGAGGCTGCCTTACTGGTAGTGAGTTAGGGCACCTCTGGAGATTTGAGCCAAGACCTGAAGGGTGCAAAGGAGCCAGCTAAGCAAAGCTTGAGCAAAACCTCAGAAGTGGCAGAGGACTTTGCTAGTTTGAGGAACAGAAAGTGTGGTGGAGGATGGGGACAGGAGAGGAGAAGTAGATGAAATTGAAGAGTTAGGCAGAGGTCACTTCATGTAGGGCCTGGGTGGCCACACTGGGGCTTGTAGATTTTATTCTAAGAGCAGTAGGAAGCTAGAAGGCAGCTTTAAGCAGGACAGGATGTACTTTAGTTTCAAAATGATCCCTCTGGAAAAGAAGCCAGGCATGGAGGAGGACGTGGGTTATTCCATTTATTTGAGACTCAAAGATAGGCAGAAGATCATTGGTGATGGTGAAGTCAGTGAGGGTCATGGAGTTGTTTCCAGCTTGGGATTATGAATAAAGCCATCATAGAATTTGCCATCTGTCTCATTAAGCTTTTACAAAATTCAAAGAATGCGATCAGGAATTGGTTTATGTCCTTTATTCACCAGTATTTATTACATCTCCTGTATTAAAGATGAGGTTATAAGTGTTCCAAGGGAAAATAGGGTGTAGATGACACAGTCCCTGCACTCGAGGAGACTGCAGTCCTGCCAGAATCCTAAATTATATGAAAAATCGTATTCCACTTTGCTTTTTGAGGCCTGGTCCTAGGTGGATAGTAAAGATGTTGTTGGAGTTCAGGGGCCAGAGAACTTGCTTTTGACTGTGCTGGTGAGCAGTGGCTTCATGAGGGGGCTTCGAAGGCAGAGCATGGTTCTCATCAGTGAGACTTTCCCAGAGATTGGGACACGACTGCTGGTGGTAGGGATGCTGGTGTGGGGTGGTCCACGGACAGGATGCCAGACGTCTCTGCGAGACACCATATAGCAGGATACTCACTCCCATTTTGGCTCTTCTTCAGACCGGCGGCCTGCCTGGAGGAGAGAGTCTCCATTTGGCCCCAGTATGTTTTTAACACCTCTCTGACACTCGCTGAGCTCCTGAGAGAGTGGACCTTACGCTCAGAGCGTTAGCAGGCAGGATCTAGCGAGACTTTGTTTTGTGTTGTCTGCATTTTTATGGTTACTTTATAGCAAGGAGTACTTTATATTTATAGCAAGGGGTACTGTTTTTATATTTATGGTAGGAATATAAAGTTAATTTTTGGAGTAAATTTAAGTAGAAACAGCGTATAGATTTAAGGAAAAATATTAAGATACTGACAGTACGGTTGGCAGGAGAATGCCTGAAGTTTGTGAGACAGTTGTACTAAGTGGTGGCAGGTATGTTGTGGGGGAGGGCATGCGTAGACAAGGTGGCGGGTGTTGAGGGAGGAGGAGGAGGAGCAGCCGCAGCATTGAGGGGGAGGAAGCGCCCAGGCAGTCTCTGGAGATGGGAGTGCAAGGTGAGTCAGACCGCATGGTGGAAACTTCGAGTACCAGGCCGTGGAGCAGGTCCAGGTGGGAATGCAGTGGGGAGCCATTGATGCCTTTGCAACCGCAAAGTGCTTTGGGAGCCTCAATGTGTAGACCTGTGCAAGATGGGCAGAGAGAGAGAAGACTGAACAAGAGCAGGAATTTGACAGCAGGTGTGGAAAAGGAGCCTATGCGAAAAGCATTGGGAGGGAGAGGGAACTCAGCTGGCATGGGATTCCTGCGAGCAAGAAAGGAGCTTTGCCAAGTGCTCTGTGTTCAGATGTGTGCATGTTTTAACGTATAGTATGTAAGATCTTGTTTAAGTGTCAGACACATTTGCAAGTACACTCAGAAAGTCTGCTTGAAAGAATATAAATATGAGATGGAGGGAAATAAAGCTGAAATTTATTACAGAAGCCAGATGACTTAAATCAGTGGTTCCCAGGCCGGGCTGCACTTCAGAGCCACCACAGTAGCTTAATTTGCCACTTCCCATCTCAGACCCTCTAAATCAAATCTTCAGGGTTGGTGTAGAGCCCTGCGGATTTCTATTAAGAGTTCCCAGAATAATTCTGATGGGCAGCCAGATTTGGGGGACCCACTGATCTAAAGCAATGAAGGGTTTTCTCTTCTGCCCGTAATGGTGACCATCTCGTAGATTGGTGTGCAGTTATCCTTTGCATTGGCTGACCTCAGACATCCATGTTAGTGACCATGTTGACACACTTGCAGCAAAACAGGACTGTCTGCACAGAGCTTTACAGAGAAGTTGATTTTATTTCATGGAAATGCAACATTGCAAGGGAACTCTGAAATCATTTTGTTGGTGCTTGGGAAATGTTACTGAGCGCTAGTAAACTTTGGAAAGTCTGTACCTTGAGCACTTCAAGGGAAGGGGAACTGTCTGCATCGGGTTGCGCAAGGAGAAGCAGAGACCAGGCGGGGACCAGAAGTGCTGGCTCGTCCTGTCTCCTGATGGGGGGTGCCGTGGCTCTCGAGACCTGCAGTCAAGACAGGACACTGGCTGTAATTCAGGAATACCTCAGGGAGAAAATTTTTTTAAGATAAATCTGTTGCGAGAAGAGCAGGATACTGAGCACTTTTCACGACTATGATTTACTTAAAAATTGCCTTTGCATAGCTAGGTTGAATACTCTGCATATTAGTTTAGTTTGTTAGGGCTGCCCTAACAAGGTACCACAAACTGGGTGACATAACAGAAATTTATTGTCTCACAATTCTGGAGGCAAGAAGTTTGAAATCACAGTATCGGCAGGGTTGGTTCCTTCTAAGGGCTGTGAGAGAAGGATCTGTTCCAGACCTCTTCCCTGACTTGGAGATGGCCTTCTTTTCCGTGTGTCTTTTCACACCATCCTCCCTGTATGGAGTCTGTCTCTGTATCCAAATTTCTCCTTTTCGTGAGGACACCTGTCATACTGGATTAGGGCTCACCCTAGGGACCACATCTTAACTAATTATATCTGCAGAGACCTGATTTCCAAAGGTCACAATCTGACATACTGGGAACTAGGATTTCAGCATATGAATTGAAGGAAGGAGGGGACATAATTCACCTGATAACACTATACAGCTTAGAAAATCGTGGAATGTGGGGCAGTCAGTGGCACACTTGAGTGGGAGTCATTTATTCATTCATTCATGCAACCAATATTGAGAGCCTGATATCTATCAGTTTTGGTTCTCATACCAGCACTGGTTTGGTAATATAACTTCGCCTCTCTGGGCGTCAGATTCTAATGTGTAAGAGAAAGGAATTATAGTAAATTCTCAGACGCTTTCCTTTTAGATCCAAGATTCCAGAAAGTAACATTTTTAAATGAGGAAATAAATGACAAATTTGTATACTGTTATCAGGAATCAAACTCATACTACTAGTTTAAAGTCTCTAAAGTCTAGTAACA